TCTCATCTGTGAACAGAACAGTTCTCCATTGCCTGTATCGCCAGTTTTTGTGTTGTAGGGCAAACTGTAGACGTTCACGCCGATGACGAGGGGTGAGGATAGGTCCACGATAAGGTCTACGGCAATGGAGGTTCCCACTGTTAAGACGTCGGCGTAATGTATCAGTACTGATTGGTCTTCCGTGTGTTCCCACTGTCTGGCGTGCTGTTTCGGATGCCTGCATGAAGGGATTCTGTACATGCTATCGCACAACATGGCGGTCTTGACGTCTTGTGATCACCCTTGGTCTGCCAGTACGGGGGCGATCATTTGTGGTGTTGGTGGCCCGGAAACGTTGCTGCAGCCTGTAGATGGTCCGAACGTTGACCTGGAAGTGATTGGCAACGGCTTGTGCAGTGTGGCCAGCTTCAAGTCTTCCAAGCGCCTGGTTCCTCTGAGCTGTCGTGAGTCGCGGCATCCTGCTGACGTTTTCATGTGAATGTTTCAACCAGGTTTGGGGGTCCATTATATAGGGCTGTTCCTTGTGAACAGTACGTGCAGCATGAGTTGCATGAAAAACATGGAGAACACCGTACCATCTCCGAGATCAGATTGCGTTTTTGAGACCATTTCCTGGGTTCCATTCTGAGTTTGGGAAGGAATGTCTTTGCTCAGGTAAAGTTGGAGATGTTGTCAAAAATATACAATCAAAACATTACATGAGTTTACAGTTATCCGTTTCTGCGAAGGAAAATTCCAAACTGACGTTTCTTTTGCTGCTTAGTGTATTTGGGATGATAGTTGCTAAGTAAACTACAGATTCTAGAACTGTTAGGTTGAGACCCACCCGGGGTTCGAACCCACGCCATCAGACTCAGGCACCTAATCGCCAGCACACAAAGTCAGACGCCTAACCCGCTCTGCCACGGGTTATTACATTCAATATTATGTTTCTATATCATATGTGTCGCATCCGCGGTGGCTGAACGGGTTAGGCGTCTGACTAGAATCTGTACTTTACTGAGAAAGTGTAATTCTAAATATAACACATGTTGCAGGGAAGTAACAAACGGAGTAATGCATCTGTGAGTTGTGACAGCTCATGATCAGATATTTCTACAGAGGTCATTACGATATGGTTACGTTACTTTTTTCGCATTTCGCTGTGATAACTGAAGACCACATCATTCGAATAAGGAGTAGTATAATCGTAAACACAATGAAAATTACAGGCGATTAAGCCATCCCAGCGTTATATACGCCTAGCAATTCACAGACCAGCGATGCGTTTGCAATGGAGACACGTCGTTCACTTAAGTAAAAACGCGACCGACAACAACGTTCCTGGAAAGCTTCCACTCTTCGATTCCAGCTTTCTTGCAAAGCTTCAACTCTTCGATTTGAGCAGAAATTCTGCTGTTTATGAGTATAGTGAAACGTTTAAGAAATTACATTTCGTGTCTCTCTGAATTATGTGGAGAAAGCTAGCGATGTGAAACGGGTGACGAATTCTATATTGTATACGACAAGCTAGTTGTAAATGACAAGCTTATACATACAACGGGGGACATTTTAAGAAAATCATTGACCTGATGGGAAATGGCCAATCCACCGATTTTCTTGGGTCTCTTGGTATGCTGCGCTGACGCGACACTGGCCAGGACAATGATTGCACAATGGCGCCTTTGCAATTGCATGGCAAACAAACATGGCCACCAGCTATATATTTGACATCGAAAAACCCGAGAACAGGTGGTCTGAATTTTCCCCGTACTATAGGATCGTTTATGTAACGAAAATAACACCCATTGTTACTTTTAATGAAGGAAAACCTTACTGAAGCAGTTTCGGAACACGAAAAACGTCGTCACACAAGTCACAATGTAAACAATGACACGCCGCTTCTTACTTTTCGACAGCGATATATTCTTTAGTATTTCGTGTCAGCTGGGAATTCTACACATAATACATGGAACTTAACGAATAAATATTAAATAATTTCATTGATGCCAAATTGCTGATTTCGATGACATTGGTCTGTTTTCTCCTACTGTGTTATGCTTGAAATAAACTGAACTCTCAGTCTAACAACTACAAAGTAGGACTATATATACATTCTCCATTATACTTAATTAGTCAGTACATGCCATATCTCATTGCAACATGATATCTTAAACTGTTTTGTTTTTCATAGGATGAGTATGCATGAGGAATTGATGTAAAATATAACATTAGACATGGAGTGGCAACTTCAACATGATGTTGTGAGAAATGTATTACAAATAACACTCTGTGTATGTTGCCTACTTGACAATCACTATGCCAGGAGGTTCTACCAGTTGGTCCTAAAAAAACTCACTGTTGTCAAGAGTACCAGACGAAACTATGTGTTAATACACTCACAAGGGCTTCCTGTTGTCAAAGACATTTTTGGTACAAACATAAAGGTTATTAAAAGTTAATGATGTTCCCATACGTCTTTTGATACATCTAGCTTGGTCTTAGGGGATAGAGGCACTAAACTATTCTGATATATGTTAATATATTAAACATTAAAAAGCAAACATTAATAATACGGTTTTGGTCCTTACATTGAAATTACACCAGTACATGATCAACGGAATTCCAAGCAAAATCAGTGATTGTGTGTGGAAATACATATGTATGCACTAACTGTAGTCTCAAATAATATAATGTAGTAAGTTCTTTTGGTATATCTACAGGATTGTCATGCTCTTACATGGAAACATGTAGTATGATTAACTGTTAACTGGTTGAAATAATTGCTTATTTCATGGTGAAAATAATATTATTTATGACTTGTATCGGAGAATGCACATTTCTTTGGGTGGGTGGGGGTTTGTATTCTCTTAGGGGACATGGGATTTTGTGTTTGGACACACACTCGACTTACACTTGTCACATGAACAGGAAGAATCAGTCACATGCGCTCGTGTATTGCTGCACGTGCGTCTCGCTTCATGGGTGTATTTCGGTGGGACCAAACACGTCGGGTGAGTTTGAAACAAATTACACCGTCAATTTTCATTCTTATGCAGGAAGTGCAACCAATTTAGATTCTTATGTAGAACAGCTTAATGAAGTTAAAGCCCTCTATGGGACACAAGGAAGCTCATCGTGCCAAATGTAAACCACCCACGCCAAAGTCCACCACAGTGGTTTGATAGGGAACACGAGATCCGAAACGTACAGAATATGCCCTTCTAGACTAGATAACGAATGATATTTATCATTGTACTGAACATTTAAGCTTTTTAAAGAAACCTGTAAAGGGATAAAGATGGCATGAAAAGTCCGCCTCAGGACAGACTGTAAAGTCTGCAAAAAGAAAAGATTTTTTTTTACAGCAGCAAAGATATAATACCAACTGCAGATAACTTTTAGATCCACCCGTAAAATCTCCCATTTGATCAAGATCTAGAAATCCATGTTGCTTTAGGTTGTTAAACTTCGACTGACTAAACAGATACAGGAACTTGAAATATTAAATGCTCAACACCATTTGAAACTGTCAAATCACAGAACCATAGAACCAGGGAACTGGAAGTCCCATAACATAAATCTGACTCCAGATAATATAGAAGGATAGCCATGTCAGATCTTCAATGATCATAAGTTATACTGATAGCCGAGTGGGCACGGGTGGCCGCATCTCGAGGTGCAGAGTTGCCTCCCTTCAGTACCTTCGATCGTTGGTTTGAATCCCGGTCCTCCCCGATGTTTTAGGTTTGTCATCGCCACACCTGTGCCCGGGGGTTTCATCAAAGTCCTTAGCATCTAAAGCCTGCCTCACTCCGGGCTTTCCTCCTACTTTAAGCTGGCATAACTTAAATACTGATAAATCCAGCTCCCGCATCTTCAGAACGCCAAGCAGGGTTGAGAGAAGCTTGCTGTATGAATGATCATATATATTGACTAACACACAAAAAGATGCCGAAAAACATCTTCCAGAAAACATCCAAAATGGGTGAATATCCAGGATGAAAATGTAATCTTCACACAGCCGCTGGTCTTCATGTTGTGTTGTGTTGTGTCGTGTTGTGCTGCGTTATTTAGATGACAGAGGTACGTACTTGCCCCTTATATAGTCCTAAGCATACCAAAATCAATGCTGCTCTACAAATATATAGCAAATACGACATCATCAGATAGTGGCGAGTGAATATGCTTTTACGCCGCTATGGGCAATAGTAACAGTCTCATAACGGGGATACCAGAAATGGGCTTCACATTCTGTATCCATATGTGGAATCGAAACCGGTGTTCGGTGTGATGAAGAAACGCCTTAACCACTAGACTGCCAGACAGCCTCACATCAGCAACACATTCCGGACTGATAACTATTCTCAAAACGATAGCAGCAAATGAGTCGCTAAGTCTTGATAACATGACCACTGAAACTCTGAAACGGGTGAAAAGCACGTTTGCGCGCGCGCACACACACACACAAACACACACACACACACACACACACACACACACACACACACACTTGCTCAGAGTGTGCAACAGGCCATCGGATCCCAATTGCGAAGATCGATGCTCATGCTGTTGATCACTGGATTTTCAGGTCCAAACTCGATTATTTACAGGCCACAACCATATAGCTGGAATATTGCTGAGTGCGGCGTACTCACTCATTCATTAACACGTAATTATATATGCATGCGATTTATGGCAGGTCACAGCAAGACAGGCTATGGTCATGGACCAGAAAGCCCATATTCGAGTTTATTATTTGTTCTATCATGGTAAGTCCATGTTAGTCACGATCAACCTTTGCTGGTCTTATGAGGCGACCAAATGTATCGAGGGTCCGACTTGGTTGAGAGCGTGTCATGGTAACCCCGTGGTGTTGCTCATAATATCAATCACTGGAACAGGGACATACTCGATTATTTACATGCCGCCAAAAGAGGCGATGATTCAATCAGCTTTTAAATTATTTGTTAACGTGAAATGATAAACTGTTCAATTAAATTAAAAAACTCTTTTCAGTATATTCACTGAACAAAGATATTACCTGTCGGTAATTCGATTCAGTCCAATGAACACAAGTGGCTCTACACAGAAATGGAATTTACCTGTCAACCGTGCCCTGTCTCCGCTCCATGGATTCAGTTGAGTGTTAACGCAGAATAACGACGTGGCTTCGCTCGACCTACATTGACAATCTCGACAGAGGAAATACGACATGCTAACTCTGCTGATGGTCTCCCTGCCTGTTGTGGTCGTCGGCTTCAACCTCACCATCCTCCACACCAACGACATCCACGCAAGATTCGAGCAGACCAACACAGACAGTGATCAGTGTTCGGCCGACGATGTGGCAGAAGGGAAATGTTTCGGGGGACAGCGCGACTGGTGACCAAAGTCCGAGAACAGCGTGCCCTCCACCCCAACACCATCCTCCTGTCTGCAGGGGACGAGTTCTCGGGGACGTTGTGGTTCTACAAGTACCGCGGTGCTGTTGTGGCCAGATTCATGAATCTGTTGCAGTATGACGTCATGGTGAGTATATGAACATGTTGCAGTATGATGTCATGGTGAGTGCATATAGTTTTTAACCTGTGCGGGATATATTGGGGATATATATGTCAGTAAATATTGTGTGATGGCCATTGGCGTGAGGGTAAATGACGTGTACTATACTGCTTGTTGAGAGCATATGTAGAGGATATTATGTGAGTGTCCATGTCATACTATGTTTACGACACGAGTGCCTAAATATTGGTATTTCCCGAGCAAGAGCGAGGGATATTCCGATATTTAGGCAGGAGTGTCGTAAACATGGTACGATATGGACACGAATATAATATTCTGTTTATTACCGAAGTTGTCAATTTGATGAAAATAAACCCAAATCTACTTTCAAACAGGCTGGCTACCGCATGTTGAACGCAACGTCATAGAAGAAACATGACGTCATAGCATTGTTCATGACGTCACGTCAGCATTCCAAAGTGATATTTTGCCCTAGGGTATCGTATGAAAAATATGAATCCCGATATTTTCGCCCTTGTAGGTAATAAATTGTATTAAGTACAGCTTCTGTATGTGTAAATATCATATATTGTCTGTTGGCGGATTAATATAAGGCGATAAACTGCCTGTTGGTTTTATGTCGTATCTTAAAACGGTTTAATTTTGTTTGGTATACAACAACAAGTAGTAACACGCTGAATCGATGGCACCTGACATTGGACTCGTTGGCATTCTTTCCGATACACAAAAACCTGACAGACACAATGAGTTTTCCTACTACATATATTCATCACCAATGTGAATAGACTGACAATGATTATGTTATAACCCTCATCACGCTGTACTCGTAACATATAAACCAGATCAAGACATTTTGTACATGCTTGGAAAACCAGCTTCAGCGTATTAAAATGGTAACTAACATATTTTGCTCTAATCAAAACAAACCCAGAATTGAAACTGAAATTTGGAAACTGTTTACATGCAAGAAAACACAAAAACGCGAATGTCAACAATTCCAGAAAGTATGGTCACCATGACTACTCTACCAGTCTGATTGTCACACAGTTCTCTAGTAATCATTGCAGTGATTGTATGAACCGCCACTGGCGACCACATCAGTACTTGGTGTGGCCACCGCTTTCACGAATCAGTCTTTGCGCCCCAAATAGTCGCAATGATGTTTCATGGGGTTCACATGATTGGAGTTGTTCTACAACTGGGTGATGACGGCTCGAGGACGATGAGTTCTAGCGCTGTCATCCATGGCAAGGGGACGGTTATCAAAATGTGGCACTACGATGGCATCCAGAACTTCCTGTTGATAACATTCAACATTGGGTGTCCCAGGTTCTGTAATAGAATCCAGCTTGCAGTCATACGAAAAGCAACTCCAAACCAAAAGGTTTCAGCTGCATGGATCATCTCCTGGTGACACGTCCCGATAAGACAGCTGTCGGAAAGAAGATGAAGATAGCGACTTTCAGTAGACCAATGAACCCTATGCCATGTCCTAAAGTGTGCGGTTTTCTCGAAGCTTCCACCAGGTCGGACGTTCCTACCTGAGCCTATCTGTGAGGAAGGGGCGTCTGATTGGATCTGACCGGTATCATCTATCGTATTGTGCCTGCTTCGAAAATATTCCTTGCCCTCAGTGCGTATTGTGTGAGTGAGTGAGTGTATTTTGTTTTACGCCGCTTTTAGCAATATTCCAGCAAGATCACGGCAGGGGACACCAGAAATGGGCTTCACACATTGTACGCATATGGGGAATCGAACCCGGGTCTTTGGCGTGACAAACGAACGCTTTAACCACTAGGCTACCCCACCGCCCCCTGTTACCATGTACTCCGTATCTCAAGACCTGTTGCATGCCTGACATTAGTACAACTTTGTTGCCCACAGCGTCTGTTACTTGGCTTAGCATTATCTCTGCGGTACACAACACCCTATCACAGAATCTGAAGCCCAAACAGTTAGAATATTGTCAAATACATAGAACACATTTCCTTAATTATCGACAACGTGATTTTTCCAAGAAAATCGCCATCTCGGAGGAAGTTAGACGTGTAGACGTAGATATGCTGCTATAGTCATTGTTTTTCACTCTCCCCATTCTAGACGCTGGGTAATCACGAGTTTGATCTTGGTATCGACGGGTTGATACCTTTCATGAACGACCTCAACTTCACCGTGGTCAGCGCTAACATTAACGTTTCTGCGGAACCAAGGATGAATGACAAGCTGATGAAACACACGGTGTTGACTGTCGGGGGTGAACGTATCGGGGTCATCGGGTACACATCCAGAGAAACTCCAGAAACCTCGCGACCAGGTCAGTGCTCCTGAAAGTAAGTTAGACACACAGCATCCTGTGAAAATATTCGGCCGGCCAAGAGTTACAATTTCAGCAGTTCCGTTCAGTCAGGGGCGTAGCTAACATTATAAAAAAAACAGCCCGGGCTGACACATGATTGTTGCTAAAAAGGTTGGGCAAGCCCTCAATACTATATATCTAAATATAAAGCTTTGCAACCTATCGGGCTTACACGAGAAAAATGGCCGCCTACGCGTCTGTCAGTCAACACATATAGTAGGAGATTTATCGATTATCTCATATGAATAATTATTGCTTCCAGGTCCAAACCTCAAATTTGAAGATGAAGTTGCAGCAGTCCAGAAAGAAGTTGATGTATTGACGTCACAGGGCATCAACAAGATAATTGCCCTCGGTCACTCGGGCTTTAATGTTGACCAGATAATAGCATCAGAGGTCACTGATGTGGATGTGGTGGTCGGTGGTCACACCAACACTTTCCTCTACACGGGTGAGGGCGCACACGATTACGCGCGCCACAACACCCATGCACGTCCACGCCCACGTCCACGCCCCACGTCCACGCCCACGTCCATGCAACGCCAACGTCCTTGCACTTCCACAGTGTGTGGAGCCCATTTCAGCTGTCCCCTGTCGTGATGTTGCTGAAATATTGCTAAAAGTGACTAAACTAAACTCACTCACTCACTCCATGTCCTTACAAACGTCATTAAATGAATAACACATTCACTCAGGTAAACATTATATAAGAACTTACGTCTATACTTTTGTTCGAAAAGTTCAAAATGTTTCCCGCCTATAACAATGCACTTCAAGTCAAACCTACTAGTAGTGGACTGCCATTACGCAGGTGACTACCCGTCCAGTGAGGAACCGGAAGGCAAGTTTCCCCACGTGGTGACCCAGTCGGGAGGGGCCAAGGTGCTCGTGGTGCAGGGCTACGCCTACGGGAAGTATCTTGGAGCCCTCGAAGTGACCTTTGACCCGGAAGGTGTCATCACGTCATGGGGAGGCAACCCAATTCTACTGGACAACAACACAGCACAAGGTCAGTGACATAACAAGACAAATCAGTATCCTATACCGAAAGGGTTCAGGAAAGTGGGACATTTCGAGGCATTTCTTTTGATCCATGTAGTATTGGCGAGAGGACATTATTTGATGATATCATCATGTGAGGAGATCCAATAGTTGGTGTGATGAAGTGTTGGCGCACCACACCGTTGAAAGAGGTCGGGGACAATTTCCTCAGTTTCGTTTTTGAGATAAAGTCAGTAGAATCAGGTAAACCCACCTCTTTTGGCGAAACGTATACGAATTCGTCGAGGCATGGGTCTGGTTCGACCAACGTCATCTTCGCACATGTTGCTCCACTCCTCAGTGAGAGCGGCACCGAGTTCATTGAGAGGAGTGGGTGGACTTTGGCGAGTAAATGACTCGTAAGACGTGTTCACAAAAGATGAAACGTTGCCAGTGAGTTGTGTTAAGAACACAAGTGGTTGACATGATGTTGTCCCCATAGTCATGACCTGTCGCTTTGCCATGGGAAATATAGAGTTCAGTTCGGCCAGTCATTGTGACGTCACCTTATGCCATCATGGACTCATCCCCAAAAGGATCAGTGCAGAATACGATTCAGAAACGAACGGAGATTCTAAACCGTACACGTTATCATCGGCTTCAGAAATATTTTGCATTCGTATGTGGAGAGGTAAATTCCATGCCGCTAGACCATTTTCAAAACGTTTCTCAACATTTCAGAGATACGACACGCAATCGCACGCATGCTATATTAAAACTTTGTTTTTTCTTTTCTCGCTCGTCACGCCGAAGACCCGGTTTCGATTCCCCACATGGGTACTATGTGTGAGGCCAATTTCTGGTGTCCCACGCCGTGATATTGCTGGAATATTGATAATAGCGGCGTAAAACTAAACTCACTCACTCACTAAAACTTTCTTTTCACTCTGTATGCCTGCCTGTAACGACCAACAAATCATTTCAGACGAGATGACCCTACAGCTGATGCAGCCGTACAAAGAGGGCGTGGCCAACGAGTCAGGCAAGGTGGTGTCCAGAAGCCACGTGCTGCTGGACGGGGACAAGCGGTCTTGCAGGGTCAAGGAGTGTAATATTGGTAGGTTAAAAACTAGATAAGATTACATAATGTGTCACTGATAGTAGCCTTTTTGTATTCATTGTTTGCCAGAGAAAAATGATGACTCACTATTACTACATAGACCCGTGAAGATATCGGTTTACAATTGGTCTTCAGTAATCCATGCTTGTCGTAAGGGGCGACTAACGGGATTGGGTAGTCAGCCTCGCAGACTTGGTTGACACATGTCATTGTATCCCAGTTGTGCAGATCGATGCTAATGCTGTTGATCCCTAGATTGTCTGGTCCAGACTCAAGTATCACCGCCACCATAAAGCTGGAATACTGCTTAGTGCGGCGTTAAGCAACAACCAACCGACCAATTATTACTTCATATCTGTCATCAAAGCTGCTAAGCTGGGATCAGCTCTCCGCGGATAGTTAAAGGAGAGGAGTCCAGCTTACACACAGCACCGTCTGCAACATGCAAAGGGTTCAATTGCCTGTTTCTTCATTCCTCAAGTCAACCTAAGTCCTTACCCACACCACTGCTCTATAACCCTAACAGGCGCTTTCTTGATGCAGCAAATCATACGTTGCTACACTTTGATGCAGCAGTTCATACGTTGCTACACCTTTATGCAGCAGTTTATACGTTGCTACACCTTGATGCAGCTATTCATACGATGCTACACCTTGATGCAGCAATTCATACGTTGCTACACCTTAATGCAGCAATTCATACGTTGCTACACCTTAATGCAGCAATTCATACGTTTCTACACCCTGATGCAGCAGTTCATAGGTTGCTACACCTTAATGCAGCAATTCATACGTTGCTACACATTGATGCAGCAATTCATACGTTGCTACACCCATACGTGCTACACCTTGCAGCAATTCATACGTTGCTACATTGATGCAGCAATTCATACGTTGCTACATTGATGCGCAGCAATTCATACGTTGCTACACCTTAATGCAACTATTCATACGTGCTACATCTTGATGCAGCAATTCATACGTTGCTGCACCTTGATGCATCAATGCATACGTTGCTACACGGAGCATCTTTAGAATACAGCACCACAACTTCTCATGAGGACCCGCAACCCGCGACGTTGCCACACCTTGATGCAGCAATTCATACGTTGCTACACCTTAATGCAGCAATTCATACGTTGCTACTTAATGCAGCAATTCATACGTTTCTACACCCTGATGCAGCAATTCATACGTTGCTACACCTTAATGCAGCAATTCATACGTTGCTACACCTTAATGCAGCAATTCATACGTTTCTACACCCTGATGCAGCAATTCATACGTTGCTACACCTTAATGCAGCAATTCATACGTTTCTACACCCTGATGCAGCAATTCATACGTTGCTACACCTTAATGCAGCAATTCATACGTTGCTACACCTTAATGCAGCAATTCATACGTTTCTACACCCTGATGCAGCAATTCATACGTTGCTACACATTGATGCAGCAATTCATACGTGCTACATCTTGATGCAACAATTCATACGTGCTACATCTTGATGCAGCAATTCATACGTTGCTGCACCTTGATGCATCAATGCATACGTTGCTACACGGAGCATCTTAAGAATACAGCACCACAACTTCTCATGAGGACCCGCAACCCGCGACGTTGCCACACCTTGATGCAGCAATTCATACGTTGCTACACCTTAATGCAGCAATTCATACGTTGCTACACCTTTAATGCAGGAATTCATACTGTCTGCATGCAGCAATTCATACGTTGCTACACCTTAATGCAGCAATTCATACGTTGCTACACCTTAATGCAGCAATTCATACGTTGCTACACCCTTAATGCAGCAATTCATACGTTGCTACACCTTAATGCAGCAATTCATACGTTTCTACACCCTGATGCAGCAATTCATACGTTTCTACACCTTAATGCAGCAATTCATACGTTGCTACACATTGATGCAGCAGTTCATACGCTGCTTCACCTTGATGCAGCAATTCATACGTGCTACATCTTGATGCAGCAATTCATACGTTGCTGTACCTTGATGCATCAATGCATACGTTGCTACACGGAGCACCTTTAGAATACAGCACCACAACTTCTCATGAGGACCCGCAACCCGCGACGTTGCTGCTACACCTTGATGCAGCAATTCATACGTTGCTACACCTTGGTGCAGCAGTTCATACGTTGATGCACCTTGATGCAGCAGTTCATACGTTGATGCACCTTGATGCAGCAGTTCATACGTTGATGCACCTTGATGCAGCAGTTCATACGTTGCTGCACCTTGATGCAGCAGTTCATACGTTGATGCACCTTGATGCAGCAGTTCATACGTTGCTACACCTTGATGCAGCAATGCATACGTTGCTGCACCTTGGTGTAGCAGTTCATACGTTGATGCACCTTGATGCAGCAGTTCATACATTGATGCACCTTGGTGCAGCAGTTCATACGTTAATGCACCTTCATGCAGCAGTTCATACGTTGCTACTCCTTGATGCAGCAATTCATACGTTGCTCTACCTTGATGCAGCAATTCATACGTTGCTGCATCAACATTTCGGTGATGTGAGATGCTAACAATAAATCAAAATGTAAACTTACTTGTATATGTGTCCTCATTTCCTAGGTAACCTGATAGCGGATAGTATGGTGCACCGAAACCTGAAGTTCTGCGACCCCCTGGCATGGAACCACGTGGCCATCGCTTTCATGAACGCCGGCGGCATCAGGACGTCGATTCAGAGAGGTAACGTCATGGTCTTCTGACTGGCACAGGGCGGATGCCTAGAGGTTAAAGCGTTCGCTCATCACGCCGAAGACCCGGGTTCGATTCCCCACATAGGTACAATGTGTGAAGTCCGTTTCTGGTGTCCCCGCCGTGGTATTGCTGGAATATTGCTAAAAGCGGAGTAAAACCCTAACCACTCACTCACTCACTCTGACTGACACATACAACTAACACTATCAGACAAATGGTTTTGACAAGTGTTACGGTTGTTACTTTTTGGTGATAAATTAGAAATTATTTCCCCTTATTTTGTGTTTGATCTACAATGTAGTGTATAAGCAGGGAGACTACATAACCATAACGTTGTAGATTATCCCTGGTATAGGTGAGATTTTATCGGTGTCAACTTTTTTCTTAAAAAAACAGAATATATGCTTACTTTTTCATCACACGAATGAACGATACTAATCAGATATTGGTAATCGACAACAGGAAGGGGTAATTCTCATTGATTGGTGGTAATAATGGTCCACTGGAAGCCAGGATCAAAATACTACTGATGGGTAATAAACACTGACTTGTAATGGGGAAATGGAAGGCAATGAGTACTGAGCGCTGATCTGTGGTAGTAATGAACGAATGGGAGCCAGATTAATGGTCTTGATAGATAATGGCACCGATGATAGACTACACCAGGAAAAACAACATAACACAACTATCCACATGACCATCAAAACATGTTAATATTTTTAGAGTGAGTGAGTTTAGTTTTACGCCGCTTTTAGCAATATTTCAGCAATATTTTCACACATTGTACCCATGTGCGGAATCGAACCCGGGTCTTCGGCGTGACGAGCAATCGCTATAACCACTAGGCTACCCCACCGCCACTAATATTTTTGATATTTTTAAGGACCACATGCAGTGGAGTGTTCATATCGATCTATTGATATGTTCAGGTGACGTCACAATGGATGACATTTTGACCGTGATGCCGTTCCGGAACACCGTGGACATCGTGGAGCTACTGGGGAAACATGTCCGGGAGACGCTGGAGTTCGGGGCGTCCAAGTGGGTGGAGACTGGCAACCTGTTTGGGGGGTTCTTCCAGGTGTCAGGTGTGTTTCTTCGCGGTGACTGTGAATAAACCTTCTAAGGTAATTTTGTCGCTGTGGGGTAGCCTAGTGGTTACAGCGTTCGCTCGTCACGCCGAAGACCCGGGTTCTATTCCCCACATGGGTACAATGTGTGAAGCACATTTTGGTGTCCCCCGCCGTGATATTGCTGTAACATTGCTAAAAGCCGCGAAAAACTTTGACCACATTACCGAGACAGTAGCAGCTATTTTACGTAACGTAAAGCAAACCTTCCTCGTATTTACAAAACATAAGTATACCCTGTTCTGTTTTGACGTCATTAGAAAGCAACATATAACTGCATTTTAAAGAATAGTGTAAATCTTTCTTACAAAACATTTAAGGGGATGTGTGATCAGTTCTTCAGTTCACCTCGCCAGGTATGACAATTGTGTACGACATGACGATGCCTGTGGGTCAAAGGGTAATAGAGGTCAAGGTCAGATGCACCAACTGTTCCGTGCCCCATTACGTGGATCTGAATGACTCCGAGATATACAAGATCATCATGCCATCTTTCATTGCTAATGGCGGGCACGGATATGACGTCATTAACAACAACAAAATCCGACATCACCTGATTGGTAAGAATCCTTCCTGCTGATACCTGTTCTCTGTTTACAATGTGATAGTTCGTCTGTACACGATTGTACAACATCAGTGAACTGTGGTGGTTCATGAACAAATGTTAAGACCATTTTTCGTGTGAACAGGTGACCGGTCCTCTAAGACCCCACAATATACAATGCAAGTTTAACTTTGATTCTGAGTTCAAATCCCTGCTTGCCCCTTTTGTCAGGTTTGTCAGCACCGAACCTTCCCAAAACTTCTCACACTATATCACTCTGACCCGTGCAAACTGACATATGTCATCGGTTCCCAATTGCGAAGATCGATGCTCATGCTGTTGATCACTATATTGTCTGGTCCAGGCTCCATTATTTACAGACCGCCGCCATATAGCTGGAATATTGCTGTCTGCAGCGTAAAACTAAACTCACTCACTCACTCACTACATAAGTTCTGGCTTTCTTCCCACAGGCCCTCATGTCTTTGCGAAGATTAAAGATTTAAAAAATATTTTTTGAGATGAACCCCGACTCGAAATGCTACACAGTACAATACATTATGATGTGTACTGTGAAGCATTTCGAGTCGGGGGTCATCTCAAATTGTATATATTTTTCTTAACATCTTTAATCCTCGCAAAGACACGAGGGCCTGTGTTTCCTCCATCGTTAACGAGACACGTCAAAGCATAACATGAATACTGTTGAAGGCAACCCAACTCCCTGTCTAAAAGGTTTTTCTTAGCACTGCTGATTTCGTGATTTCTTGATTACCATGTATTTAATTAACATGTTTCTGACATTTGTTGCAGGGGATGTGGACAGCGACATCTTCCTTGAGTACGCCAAAGCCTTCTCACCCATCACGGCAGGTCTAGAGGGTCGCATCACACATCGGAAGGTGCCAACGTGCCCCTGTCATCTCAGCCCATTCTCCCCACAGCTCCTCACACCGACAGTTGCTGTCATAGTTGTAGCTTGTTTCTACTCATGTCACAGACTTTGCGTAGTGATGAAAATTGTTTCCAGATCGACTGGAATGTTTTCGTCCTATTTTGAATGTGTTTGACCACCGCCAACTGGATAGTGTTACGTGATATATGTGACTATCACTGGATGTGACTGAATCGTGTGCACTGAAGCTGTGTGACCAAAACCAGATGTGACCATATAGTGTTGTATTCTTTAATACAAATTGTGTCAGTGGCGAGATATTGCTTACCCTTTCAGTGATCCATTCATGTACTATCCACTCTGTTTTTCCTTTAAGCCAAGTGGAATCGGTGAATACGCGGACAGGGTAATATCTGGCGCTGACGTAATCGAAGTTATCGATATGTTGCCGCATGATGTTGATTAACAGGTCTTATCATCATGAGATGTTACTGGATTCTGAACAGGGAAAATGTGTCACCCTCTCGAAATGTGATGGGAAAGTATGTTACCCTCTACTTCTGTGACTGGATAGTGTGGGGTGAAAGTGTGTTGCCCTGTAGAGGAGTGACGGGAAAGTGTGTAGCCCCTAGAGGTGTGACTGGATAGTGTAGGGGATAGTGTGTTACCCGCTATGGGTGTGACTGGAACGTCTGTTACCCTCTAGAGGTTTGAGTGTGACTGCTGGATAGCGTAGAGGGATAGTGTGCTGCCCTCTCGAGGTATGACTGGATAGCGTAGAGGGATAGTGTGTTGCCCTTTCGAGGTGTGACTGGATAGTGTAGGGGAAAAGTGTGTTACCCTCTCGAGGTGTGACTCTGTGTGTGTTTGGGGGGTGGGGGGTTAGTGTGTAGGGAAAGTGTGAATGTATGCAAATGTTTCGAGGGTTTGATTTACAGTGCCAACGTCTGGAGATGTGACCAGGCAGTATGAATGTTCTTCTAACACTGACTATAGTTGGGACATCCCACATCGCCAGGACTGACCGTTATTCTCCAACCGCGACTTTTTGTTGTCAATAAAACCAGTCAAGGCCATAGCATTGTGATGTAATGTCATAACGTCCGTTTTGTTGTCAAGCAGCTGTTTTGACAATCAGATGTGTTAACTCTTATTTGTGTCAAATGTCATTGTGTTGAATTTTGTTACTGATAGTTTCCGAAATGAAGTCGTGAGCAGTTGCTGCAGCTGCAGCATTAAATGGGGGACTTTCAGCCGATACGTGGTTGTGGTTATGGTGGTGGTCGAATAGTTTAAGGGCAACTTGGGCCAATACGAGACTGAGTTGCAGAGTTGTCTCCCCTATATCGTCAACTTTGTATGTAGGGTGCTAATCGTCTGTATTCACTCAATTGTTCGTTCATAGTGGATTGATAAATATGTGATATGTCTCTATCGCAATAAACACGTACAAGTGGAAGAATTCGTTGTGTGTATTATTTTGTCAACAACTCCAAAATACTCATCTATTAACACACGGATCGCTTTTCAGACGTACACTCACATACGATGACGGTCGTTGAAAGAAGAGACGGTTGAGATACGATCGTTGTGATTGCCAAATACCTCATTCTACATGAACCGAAGAATTTATACATTGTAATTGTGATAAAATAAAGGGCTGAGTAGCACAACGATGAGGGTGGGTAAACGGCGGTAAACGCTCAGTCAAATATCTTTCAGTGAGCCGTTTAAGGTCCCGGTGACATGACTGTCAATATATTGTCTAATATATTGGACCAGAAGTAGGATCAACAAGCCGTGACAGAGTTGTCTCCCCTATATTGTCAACTTTGAATCCAGGCACCCATGATACACACTCTTCAAAAAGGTGAAACGCCTTGACGAACGTCAAAACTATTTACTGTGTTCATTATTATATGTGCGTATGATACAAGGTTGAGCCTCAGCATAGAGACAGACACATGCAACTATAAGGATTGTCCTGTGCAACACGAATACGTCCGCGCGTGTGCGTTCCGATGAGCACCATATGTGGAGTCATCACTGCTTAATATCTCCTTACCACAGCATGAATATGTCTACTGAATCTGACACGTGTCCTCCGGTCTTCCTCCAACACGTTGGCCAGATAAGTGTCAGCATATGCTGACGTTGACGTACACATTTATCGAGTTTCTCTCATAGATGCTCTACTGGGTTCAGAGCTCATTGGAAGACCATTGCAAGACAGACGTTAGAATTATAAAGGAACGCGAGCTGTGTATGATGTAGTGAGTGAGTGCCGCACTCAGCAATACTCCAGCTATAAGGCGGCGGTCTGTAAATAATCGAGTCTAGAACAGACAATCCAGTGATCAACAGCATGAGCATCGATCTACGCAAATGAGATTCGATGACAAGTGTCAACCAAGTCAGCACGCATGACCACCCGATCCCGTTAGTCGCCTCTTACGAACTCGGGTTAGAACAGACCCCTATGACTCTATTGCTAGTTGTAAGAGGCAATTATTTACACTCACACCGCCACACTGCTCACGTGTTCACCCATCCACCGTCTCCACAACACAACCGTCGCCGACACACACATCAAAACACACAGTAGAACACAAGACTAAACCGAGACGTTTCTTTAATTGTGTGGTAACAGCGCGACAATTATATAAAGGTTTTATAATGCTAGACACATTACTAAAACTAAATTCACTCATGACTGTGGGAATATAACACCACAAGTAGGACTGCTATCGTCGATGTAAGGAGTTGTGGTGTGGCACGTGTGACGTCACTACTGACGTCACCGAGGGTGGCTGGAGTCTCCTGGAATCTGATGCGACCCTCTATCCCGATGGTCAAAGGTGATACACGACTTGCGTATTCAATGAAGACATCGGCGTCCAGATCTCCTGTAACACGACAATATCATCAACAACTTCGACAATGCGCGCCAGAGAGACCATCCTGGCCACAAAGATGGTATCCAATCAAGACATTTAGATCACCAATACATTTTATTTACCAAGTGACATCTCTTACCTATTTGGTGAAGGCGAATCTTATTGTCATTTATGACGTCATATCCGCTTCCGCCGTTTGATAAAAACGATGGCATCACGATCTTGTATACCTCGGCGTCCTCGAGATCCACGTAGTGGGGCACGGAACAGTTGGTGCACCTGACCTTCACCTCTGCCACCCTTTGACCTACCGGCTTCTGCATGTCGTAAACGATTTGCATACCTGACGAGAAGAAATGAAGAGCACATTTACGATACTGATACATCTCAACTAAGACAGAACTTACGAAGTCAAGTACAGAATATCTGATGTGTCTGTATTACAACAGGCTTCTCCCTACAGTGTTGAGCCGTCTGACATCAGAGTGAGTGAGTTTAGTTTTTCGCCGCACTCAGCAATAATCCAGCTTTATAGCGGCGGTCTGTAAATAATTGAGTCTGGATCAGACAATCCAGTAATCAACAGCACGGGCATCAATCTGCGCAATAGGGAACCGATGACATGTGTCAACCAAGTAAGCGAGCCTGACCACCCGATCCCGTTAGTCGCCTCTTACGACAAGCATGGGCTGCTGAAGATCAATTCTAACCCGGAGCGTCACGGGCCTCTGACATCAGAGCCCTCAGAATATCTGCTGTTTCTGGCATGTATCACTACAGTCTGTGGGCAGAGTTGCGTCCGTTGGGCAAGCTGGACACCTTTGACCGCGGGTTATAATCCCTGTTCGCCCCGAGTATCTGTTTGACTTGATCAGCACCATACCCGTGCCAAAATGTGGTAAACGTCTGACACCTGCAATTGATCCCCATCAAGCTGACACGCCCCGTCATAACTGGACTACTGTAAAATGTGACTATAAACCAACCTCTCTCACTCGCTTTGATGCTCATGCTGTTGATCACTGGATTATCTGGTCCAAACTCGATTATTGACAGACTGCCGCCATATAGCTGGAATATTTGCTGAGTTCGGCGTAAACCTCACTCACTCACACACTCACTCATCAACCCAAACCACACACACACACACCAACCCAACCCCCACATCCACCCACCCACGAACCAACCATCCCAACCCACACACCCACTCTAACTCACTCACTCACTCACTACGTTGACGTATCTGACCTTAGAGAAACATCTGTGCCGGGCTTGCCGTATTACGTCTGTCATCACAGACCTAGTGTAACCTACCTGACACCTGGAGGAATCCCCAGAACAACCTCCCGGTCTTCACCCACTTGGATGCCATGAACTCCAGAGTCTCCCGGACATGTTTCCCCAGAAGCTCCACGATGTCCACGGTATTCCGGTATGGCAGCACGGTCTGCATGTCTCCCATTGTGACGTCACCTGCACGTTGAAAAACTTGAAGGCATAACATCAGAATTTTGCTCTTCTTGAAAGCATAGCATTGAAAGTGTTTTGGCTAAACCACGACGTTTCTGAATATGTTTTATGGTTGTACAATTATAAACGTGTGTAGACCCAGTGATATATTTACTTTGGCTGGAGCAGTGTTCACCAGGTAAAGCATTACCTGGCGGGATAGACGCCCGGATGCCGCCTCCGTGCATGAAGGCGATGGCCACGTGGTTCCATTCCAGAGAGTCGCTGTGCTTCAGGTTTTGGTGCACCATGCCATCAGCTATCAGGTTACCTTGGATACAAGGAAACAGGATTTTTAATATGAAAACGGGAGTTGTGATGAGGTGAGGGGGAAGAATCGTATAGTACTGAACAGTTGTACAATATGTTTTACCTTGTTAAGTTAGCTCTGAGTGTGTGTGTGTATGTGTTTTCGTGTATGTGCTAGGGGTGGGTATTGCACAGAATTTTCATATTGCGATATATTGCGATGCGAAAGCATATATTGCGATATGTATTGCAATATATTGTAAGAAGTATTTTTCAACAAAAAAACTACGTATAATCGAGTTAATGCTTGATTTATAAAGCATGAACACAACAAAATCACTATGCTTGATTAAGCTTTAATAAAAACTTTTAATCATGACGAAATAATAATGTAAATAATATTTAGCACAAATGAAACAAGGAAATATCCGAAGATGTCCGAGTGTTACAAAGTTTTCCGAATGCAAATCAAAATACCGGTTTTCGATCAGCGTATCGCAATACGTATCGTTTTCATGTCTGAACCGGTAAATACCGGTAAACCGGTTATATTGCGCAGCCCTAGTATGTGCGTGAGTGTTACAGTTCTCTTACTCGGTAAACCTAATAGGACAATTTGGTTGTGGAGCGAACTGAAGATAGGTGGTGAGAGCTGCTTTAAGGGTTGATGAGGAGTGACTGGTTTTAATGATGAGGGGTTGCTTGGTGATGAGAGTTCGATTGAGGAGAGACAAGGAGTGGAAGGAAAACAATACTGTACAACTAAAATATATTTAGTATTTATTATACACTTCCACTTTCTGCAAGCGTCTTACCAAGATTGCACTCTTTGACCCTACACGAAGACTTTCCCCGTCCAGCTGCACTAGACTCTTGGCCACCACCGCGCCTGACTCGTTGGCCACGCCCTCTTTGTACGGCTGCATCAGCTGTAGGGTCATCTCGTCTAAAACCGACCGAAATCAGTCTCATTTGTCCGTCTCTGTCGGTAAACGTAAAGTCGTATTTTGATTTTGAAACGTGATTGATCACGTTCGTCTTATACAATGGCATGCGTTGCCTACTTGTTCATAATATCCTTCCGAGGCAAGTCCATCTGACCAAAGGTAACCTGATCTGGTTCAATACATATATCAATTTGGTCCCACGCAGAAACCCTACCTTGTGCTGTGTTGTTGTCCAGTAGGATTGGGTTACCTCCCCATGACGTGATGACACCTTCCGGGTCAAAGGTAACTTCCAGAGATCCAAGGTACTTCCCGTATCTGTAGTCCTGAACCACGAGCACCTTGGCCCCTCCGGGCTGGGTTACCACATGAGGATACTCTCCTTCCGGTTCCTCAATGGAGGGTTGCTGTCCTAAAACAATAACAAAAATACATTTGTAACTTGACTGGATAGAGAGAAAACACTTTGAGAAGGACTATTTCAGGTGACGAGATTTCCTCTTCAACCTTTAAGTTTTCATATCCTTCATACAAATCAGGCGATACGCATGTGGTAAATGTGTTTGTTTGTTACGCATAGGCTCGGGTTCAACTCCCTTCATGTATGTACTGTATGATAAACATTTCTGTTGTCCTTATGGGCTACTGTCTATGTCCAACGGCTACGGTGTCAGGAAAATCAGTTTGCGACAGATCCCCTGATTCTCTACAGAAGCATTGGCTGCTGAGGATGTGTGTTAAAGTCACTTTACATGGAGTATCATCACGATGTCGAATGTAGATTCGTTTAAACAGGGACGGTGGGGGTAGCCAAGTGGTTATAGCGTTCGCTCCGTCACGCTGAAGATCCAGGTTCGATTCCCCACGTGGGTACCATGTGTAAATCCCATTTTTAGTGTCCCCCACTGCAATATTGCTACAAGCGGCGCAAAACTAAACTGACGCACTCATTTAAACTGATGTGTTTTATATCTGCTGTATGTAGGCGAATGGTGTACACTTGGTGTTTGCTGTATTTGAAGGTGCTGCTATGCATGCACGTGGTGTTGCAGTTGTACATGATGCTGTGTTTGTGAATGTTGGATGTGGATGTGATCGTGGTTGTCAGTATATACAGAACTGGCTCACCTGTGTAGAGGAAGGTGTTGGTGTGACCCCCGACCACCACATCAAGATTTCTGACCTCCGCCGCTATCCTTTTATCAATGGTGAACCCCGAGTGGCCGAGAGCAATGATCTTGTTAATGCCCTGCGACGTCAGGATGTCAGCCTCTCTCTGGACAGCTACAACCTCATCCTGGAATCGCAGGTTTCTACCTAAAAGATTATTCATTTATTTGACAGGTCAATTTAAACAGTGAAGAGAAAATTAGGCTCGTTTGCTCTTCTTATTCCACTCTCAATGCCTTTTTAAATAATATACAGTGATTACCCCTTTGCTATAAATCTCCACAAGCAGTAATCCCACAGTATACCGTATTTCCTCTAATAAAAAAACAGGGGGACTTATTTTTTAACGGACTTCTAGACCAGGCGTTTATTGCTTACGATTACTTAAATTACATTTGTGACGTCATTCCTTTTGTTTGCTCGCTTCATTACTTTTCAGGAATGGAGCGATGTGTACCCGTTTCAAATTAAAGCCTTCATTTTGTCATTTTGACATATAATTTTGATAACAGAAATATTCCCAATACTTTGAATGTAATTTAAGTAGGGCAATATCCTCGTAACTCTCTATTCCTTTAAAATAATGTGCCTCGGCTCCATTATTACCCTCTACATAATATCCATCAAGCCGTGCCATGTGGAGGACAGGAAGTTATCACTAAAGGGACCATTCCTTAATAAATTTATTTTTGGATCAAGGGAGAATACATTTATTAAAATACCCGTACCCGGCGCTTATTAGAGGTCCGGTGCTTATTAGAGGAAATACGGTAACTACCATCACTAAATACTCTCATTATCGATACAGGCAGACAGTATACCTAAAGAGTCTTCTATGATATCTATGATATTAAAACAATTCACAGCATAAATTTTACTGTCTAGGGAGGGTTATGGCTATAGGCAAAGTAGGTAAAGTGTTCGCTCGTCACTGGGTTCGAAGCAACTTTGTTCGAGTTCAAACAGGGGTACATTCTGTAAAGCCAATTTCGGGTGTCTTTCGCCGTCATATTGATAGTGTTAACCTTACTCACCGACTGAACACAAATAGCGACGTTCAACCAAACACAGTCAGTCACTTTATTCAGTAAATGTGAGAAAGTTAGGCTGAACCAAGAACTGTATTTCAGACAGATAGAGATTTGTCCGCCATGTGTGGGAGGCAAGATTCATAATTGGGCGACCAGGGGAAGGCAACTGGGAAAGCACAATCCTGCAATGAGATTTTTATTGTTGTTTTTAGAGCGATCCACACAAACGCAACTATGTTCGCTTACAGATCTTACCTGTTGACGAAATTAATTGTGTCTCTCTGGATGTGTACCCAATGACCCCGATTCGTTCTCCCTCGACCGTCAGCACCGTGTGTTTCACCAACTTGTCATTCACCAACGGCTCTCGTGTAGCATCAATGTTGGCGCTGGCAACGGTGAAGTTGACGTCGTTGAGGAAGAGTGTCAGTCCCTCAATGCCAAGGTCAAACTCGTGATTTCCTAGAGTCTATGTGATATATAAAATATTACTGTATGCTCAAGGCTGTATGCAAAGAGAGGTTGACTTATAATGGCGTCACACTGAAACAGGTTCATGTATCAACCATGACGTCATACTGCAAACAGTAAATTAAACTCATTATGGCGTCACAATGCAACTATTTTTTAAATATATATATTTTTTTGACAATGCAACTATTCATATACTCACCATGACGTCACAATATAATAGGTTCGTACACTCACCATGACGTCATACTGCAACAGGTTCATGAATCTGGCCACAACAGCACCGCGGTACTTGTAGAACCACAACGTCCCCGAGAACTCGTCCCCTGCAGACAGGAGGATTGTGTTGGGATGGAGGTCACGCTGTTCTCGGACCTTGGTCACCAGTCTCGCTGTCCCACCGAAACATTTCCCTTCTGCCACATCGTCGGCCGGACACTGACCACTATACTTGTTGGTCTGCTCGAATCTTGCGTGGATGTCGTTGGTGTGGAGGATGGTGAGGTTGAAGCCGACGACAAGCTCTGGCAGGAAGATGACGTAGAGGGAGAGAAGACGTAATGAGCGGGCCATAATGGAGTCTTTTCTCTCGTCCAGACCCACTGAGAAAGGTTGACAATCTGCAGACAGACAGACACCAGTTTATGGGTGCCCAAGCATCCTTTGCCGCCTGCGATAACACTACTTGAGTTGACAGCCGGGACTATATTGTGTCGTTCAAGTTGTATGAGCTTGCATATGTTTTAAACATAGCTTCTCAACTGGTGTCGCGTAACATTCATTTGTTTAGATATTTTACATGCTGAATGTCGGTATGTATGTGACCTATCTACCAGCATGTTTGGTTGTAAGGGGTGTGTACACAAGGTATGTTTGTACAACCATCTCATGTTCCTCATGTTACTTCATTGGCAAAACAGTCCACCTATGTTTGAATGTGCTTGGAATAGTTCTCATGTTGCATTTAAGAAATACAGTTCGCTCTACCACCATGTATAGTGTAATAAAACACACTTTCGCCCTATTATAGTTAAAGTACGAGGACGCTTGCGTCCGAGTGCTTTAACGTTACAATAACGTTACAATAGTTTCTTTTCTAAGATGCCAAATATAATACTTTCTAAGGATAATTACGATTCATTTAAGGCAGAAAACAAACGATGGTGTCGGTGACCTAAATTAAACTGTCGCGCTGTTCTATTGATGTGTCCGCCCGCCTACGTTAAGACGAACGTTACCAGAAAAAAACAAATGATAACAGTTTGATGACGGTTTACGTTCTGATTAAATATCTTCTCTCAATTATTTTAATTACATCTGTCATTAACGTAAACCATATGGGGCAATATGAACGTCGCATTTCGACTACCAACGTAAGTTTAGATCAGTACATCCAGATGAAGCGGAGTAGTCTAGCGACATTCCACGATTGTATTGTGGGAATGTAAACATTGCGGACGTTACCGTGTCGCTGAAAACTTGTGAGTCGAATTGACACATTTTAACCGTCGTAAAACATAAACGTAATGTTTCCACAAGTGATGTTAGCTGCGTGAAGCAACTGCAAACCAAGAAACGGGATGCAACGGAGTAGTTTACTGTAGGAGGCCGTACGAGGCGATGACAACTGACATGCATTGTGACGTAATGTAAAATGGTTCGATTACGAGGGGGCACACTAGAATGGCGCAGTGACGGGATAACGTCATTCAATTGTTACGTCATCAAAAACCTATACCTTTATTGTCTGATAATGTATTTTTCTTTCGATTGTTCTAACCGCTAGGCATCTTAGAAACTATGATAATGTCCGTGTTGGTGTTGGTGTCACCACCTTGTGTACTGGTGACGTCATGATGGGAGCGTGTTTGTTTGTTTGTTTATACAGTTACTGTTTGTCTGTGACGTAACAATGTCATAAATAGAATAATAGAGGGAGTGATGCAATAGGTGTACCTGTTTTATAATAGGGTATTGTTGGACCAGTGCTATAACAGAGTATTGTTGAACCTGTGCTATTAGAGGGTATTGTTGGACCTGTGCTCTAACAGTATTGTTGGGCCTGTTCTATAACAGTATTGTTGGACCTGTGCTACAACAGAGTATTGTTGGACCTGTGCTATAACGGTATTGTTGGACCTGTGCTACAACAGAGTATTGTTGGACCTGTGCTACAACAGAGTATTGTTGGATCTGTGCTATAACGGTATTGTTGGACCTGTGCTACAACAGGGTATTGTTGGACCTGTGCTACAACAGAGTATTGTTGGACCTGTCCTATAGCAGTATTGTTGAACCAGTGCTATAACAGGGTATTGTTGGACCTGTGCTATGACAGGGTATGGTTGGACCAGTGCTATAGCAGTATTGTTGGACCTGGTCTAAAACGGGATATTGCTGGACCAGTGCTATAAGAGGGTATTGTTGGACCTGTTCTATAACTGTATTGTTGGACCTGTGCTATAACAGGGCATTGTTGGTCCAGTGCTATAACAGGGTATTGTTGGACCTGTGCCATAGCATTATTGTTGGATCTGTGCTATAACAGGGGTATTGTTGGACCAGTGCTATGACAGGGTATTGTTGGACCAGTGTTATAACAGGGTATTGTTGGACCTGTGTTATAGCAGTATTGTTAGACCTGTGATATAACAGGGTATTGTTAGTTCTGTGCTATAACAGGGTATTGTTGGACCTGTGCCATAGCAGTATAGTTAGACCTGAGCTATAACAGGGTGTTGTTGGGCCAGTGCTATGACAGGGTATTGTTGGGCCAGTGCTATAACAGGGTATTGTTGGGCCAGTGCTATAACAGGGTATTGTTGGACCTGTGCTATGACAGGGTATTGTTGGACCTGTGCTATAACAGGCTATTGTTGGGCCAGTGCTATAACAGGGAGTTGTTGGACCAGTGCTATGACAGGGTATTCTTTGAACATGGCAAGTGCTATGACAGGGTATTGTTGGACCTGTGCTATAACAGGGTATTGTTAGTTCTGTGCTATAACAGGGTATTGTTTGGCCTTTGTTATGGCAGGGTATTGTTGGGCCAGTGCTACGACAGGGTATTGTTGGGCCAGTGCTATGACAGGGTATTGTTGGGCCAGTGCTATAACAGGGTGTTGTTGGACCTGTGCTATAGCAGTATTGTTAGACCTGTGCTATAACAGGGTATTGTTGGACCTGTGCTATAACAGGGTATTGTTAGTTCTGTTCTATAACAGGGTATTGTTTGGCCTTTGTTATGGCAGGGTATTGTTGGGCCAGTGCCACGACAGGGTATTGTTGGGCCAGTGCTATGACAGGGTATTGTTAGTTCTGTGCTATAACAGGGTATTGTTGAACCTGTGCTACAGCAGTATTGTTGGACCAGTGCTATAGCAGTATTGTTGGACCTGTGCTATAACAAGGTATTGTTAGTTCTGTGCTATAACAGGGTATTGTTGGGCCAGTGTTATGGCAGGGTATGGACCACGGGTATAACAGGGTATTGCTATAACAGACCATTGTTGGGCCAGTGCTATAACAGGGTATTGTTGGACCTGTGCTATAACAGGGTATTGTTGGGCCAGTGCTATAACAGGGTATTGTTGGGCCAGTGCTATAACAGGGTATTGTTGGGCCAGTGCTATGACAGGGTATTGTTGGACCTGTGCTATAACAGGGTATTGTTGGACCAGTGCTATAACAGGCTATTGTTTGGCCAGTGCTATAACAGGGTGTTGTTGGACCTGTGCTATAACAGGGTATTGTTGGGCCAGTGCTATGACAGGGTATTGTTGGGCCAGTGCTATAACAGGGTATTGTTGGGTAAGTGCTATTACAGGGTGTTGTTCGACCTGTGCTATAACAGCGTATTGTTGGGCCAGTGCTATAACAGGGTATTGTTGGACCTGTGCTATAGCAGTATTGTTAGACCTGTGCTATAACAGGGTATTGTTGGACCTGTGCTATAGCAGTATTGTTAGACCTGTGCTATAACAAGGTATTGTTGGACCTGTGCTATAACAGGGTATTGTTGGACATGTGCTATAGCAGTATTGTTAGACCTGTGCTATAACAGGGTATTGTTGGACCTGTGCTATAGCAGTATTGTTGGATCTGTGCTATAACAGGGTATTGTTGGACCTGTGCTATAACAGGGTATTGTTGGACATGTGCTATAGCAGTATTGTTAGACCTGTGCTATAACAGGGTATTGTTGGACCTGTGCTACAGCAGTATTGATAGACCTGTGCTATAACAGGGTATTGTTGGACCTGTGCCATAATAGGGTATTGTTGGACATGTGCTATAGCAGTATTGTTAGACCTGTACTATAACAGGGTATTGTTGGACATGTGCTATAGCAGTATTGTTAGACCTGTGCTATAACAGGGTATTGTGGGACCTGTGCTATAGCAGTATTGTTTGACCTGTGCTATAACAGGGTATTGTTGGACCTGTGCCATAATAGGGTATTGTTGGACATGTGCTATAGCAGTATTGTTAGACCTGTACTATAACAGGGTATTGTTGGACATGTTCTATAGCAGTATTGTTGGACCTGTGCTATAACAGGGTATTGTTAGTTCTGTGCTATAACAGGGTATTGTTGGGCCAGTGCTATTACAGGGTATTGCTGGACGTATGCTATAACAGGGTATTGTTGGGCCAGTGCTATAACAGGGTATTGCTGGACCTGTACTACAACAGGGTACTGTTGGACCTGTGCTATAGCAGTATTGTTGGACCTGTGCTATAACAGGGCATTGTTAGTTCTGTGCTATAACAGGGTATTGTTGGGCCAGTGCTATAAGAGGATATTGTTGGGCCAGTGCTATAACAGGGTATTGTTGGGCCAGTGCTATGACAGGGTATTGCTGGACGTATGCTATAACAGGGTATTGTTGGGCCAGTGCTATAACAGGGCATTGTTGGGCCAGTGCTATGACAGGGCATTGCTGGACGTATGCTATAACAGGGTATTGTTGGGCCAGTGCTATAACAGGGTATTGCTGTACCTGTGCTATAACATGGTATTGTTGGACCAGTGCTATAACAGGGTATTGTTGGGCCAGTGCTATAACAGGGTATTGTTGGGCCAGTGTTATGGCAGGGTATTGTTGGGCCAGTGCTATGACAGGGTATTGTTGGGCCAGTGCTATAACAGGGTATTGTTGGGCCAGTGCTATAACAGGGTATTGTTGGGCCAGTGCTATGACAGGGTATTGTTGGGCCAGTGCTATGACAGGGTATTGTTGGGCCAGTGCTATGACAGGGTATTGTTGGGCCAGTGCTATAACAGGGTATTGTTGGGCCAGTGCTATATGGCAGGGCATTATTGTTGGACCAGTGCTATGACAGGGTATTGCTGGGCCAGTATTGTTGGACCTGTGCTATAACAGGGTATTGTTGGGCCAGTGCTATAACAGGGTATTGTTGGGCCAGTGCTATGACAGGGTATTGTTGGACCTGTGCTACAACAGGGTATTGTTGGGCCAGTGCTATAACAGGGTATTTTTGGGCCAGTGCTATGACAGAGTGTTGTTGGGCCAGTGCTACAACAGGGTATTGTTGGGCCAGTGCTATAACAGGGTATTGTTGGGTAAGTGCTATAACAGGGTGTTGTTGGACCTGTGCTATAACAGGGTATTGTTGGGCCAGTGCTATAACAGGGTATTGTTGGACATGTGCTATAGCAGTATTGTTAGACCTGTGCTATAACAGGGTATTGTTGGACCTGTGCTATAGCAGTATTGTTAGACCTGTGCTATAACAGGGTATTGTTGAACCTGTGCTATAGCAGTATTGTTGGACCTGTGCTATAACAGGGTATTGTTGGGCCAGTGCTATAACAGGGTATTCTTTGGTCAGTGCTATGACAGGGTATTGTTGGACCAGTGCTATAACAGTATTTTTAGTACCTGTGCTATAACAAGGTATTGTTAGCTATAGCAGTATTGTTGGACCTGTGCTATAACAGGGTATTGTTAGTTCATAACAGGGTATTGTTGGGCTGTGCTATAACAGGGCATTATTGTTGGGCCAGGGTGCTAGTGCTAACAGGGTATTGTTGGTTGGGCCAGTGCTATTACAGCCAGGTACGACAGGGTTGCTGTGAGGGTATTGTTGGGTAATGCTATAACAGGGTATTGTTGGGCCAGTGCTATAACAGGGTACTGTTGGACCTGTGCTATAGCAGTATTGTTGGACCTGTGCTATAACAGGGTATTGTTAGTTCTGTGCTATAACAGGGTATTGTTGAGCCAGTGCTATGACAGGGTATTGCTCGACGTATGCTATAACAGGGTATTGTTGGACCTGTGCTATAACAGGGTATTGTTGGGCCAGTGCTATAACAGGGTATTGTTGGGCCATTGCTGTAACAGGGTATTGTTGCGCCAGTGCTATAACAGGGTATTGTTGGGCCAGTGCTATAACAGGGTATTGTTGGGCCATTGCTATAACAGGGTATTGTTGCGCCAGTGCTATAACAGGGTATTGTTGGGCCAGTGCTATAACAGGGTATTGTTGAACCAGTGCTATAACAGGGTATTGTTGGACCTGTGCTATAACAGGGTATTGTTGGGTCAGTGCTATAACAGGGTATTGTTGGGCCAGTGCTATAACAGGGTATTGTTGGGCCAGTGCTATAACAGGGTATTGTTGGGCCAGTGCTATAACAGGGTATTGTTGGGCCAGTGCTATAACAGGGTATTGCTGGACGTATGCTATAACAGGGTGTTGTTGGGTCTGTGCCAGGACAGTGTACATAACGACTGGATATTTTAGAGGTATTTTAGGACCGGCGATGTAGCAGGGTATTGTGTGACCGATGCTCATTTTATTGATCTTTAATATGATGATTAATTGTTCCCGTCACGATATGGCTGAAATATTGCCGACGTAAAGATAAATGCTAAATTTGGACTCCTGTCCAAATAATCAGGTAAAGTCATGTTAAAAAATGTAGATATTTTATTAAAATATTGTTGCGTGGAGTATAGTGAAGACTAGCTCACACCAGTAATGATCCTTTACGTGTCTTATAAGTCACTAAAATGAATCAACAGAATCATTCAAGGAACAGTCAGTCCCAACCAGTGTTTCCCATACAGGAAGATACGACCAGGAGCAGGATCGTCGCCGTCGTAGTCGCTGAACGTGGTGCGGGGCGGGCAACGTCACTGACGGGGCAGTCACACTCAGGCTTCTCCCGGAAGCTGATCCGCCCTTCCAGCCCGTGGGTAAGAGGGGATACACGTTGTATGTATTCGAGGAGAACGTATGTGTCCACATCGCCTGCAATAACAACAACGTCAGCTGATGAATCTGTAGATGAGGCAACAGAAGCTGCTCACACACAAACAATACATACAAACAAGATATATATATACCCATGTGTCACTAAGCTGCTCATCATGTCAATTATCTGCCATGGGTCAGACCGCAAGGGTTATTCCTGTTTAGATGCTCTTCACTAGCTACACGGCAACTATTGTGAATCCATGCAGCTAAGATCTCTTTGTGTAAGCTGTCCCTCTGTTCCCGTTCTACAAAGATATCACAGAGCTACGACTATCGTAAGCCAATGCTAACGTATGGGTGTTACAATCAACTTAGAGCTAATTCGCTCTGTGGAGCTGGGTCCTCGACGCTTTGATCAGTATCACAAAGCAACATAGAAACTTCATTATTGTGAAACTATGATCAGTAGAACAAACTAGAAAACTAGTAGAAAAAATGCAAACGTTTTTATCATTTTAAATAAAACATCAAAATATATCATATAGACAACCCATGAAGATCCGTGTTAGTACTTGTATTCAGTAACCCATGCTTGTCGTAAGAGGCGACTAACGGGATCGTGTGGTCAGTTTCGCTCACGTAGTAGACACATGCTATTGTATCCCAATTGCGTAGATCGACGCTCATAATGGTAATCACTGGATTTTCTGGTCCAGACTCGATTACTTACAGACTGCCGCCATATAGCTGGAATATTGCTGAGTGCAGCGTTAAACAACAAACAAACAAATATCATATATGCATATACTAAGTACAGTAAACGACTGTACCTCCGCTGTTCCCTGTTGGTGCTGTATTAAGCCTACTCAAAGACCACAATTATAATATGTCCGTGTCACATCACACACTTACCAAGCAGATGATGTTTGATCTTGTTTTTGTTGATGACGTCATATCCGTCGCCGCCATTGGCAGTGAAAGAGGACATCACGATCTTGTATACTTCGGTATCGTCGAGATCCACGTAATGGGGCACGGTGCAGTTGGTGCATGTGACCTTGACCTCTACTACCCTTTGACCTTCTGGCATCGTCATGTCGTACACGACTTTCATACCTGGTTAGAAGGAAAACCTCTTACAGTGCCTTTATAGTGTCCAACTTACGATTAGAAAAAGCAAGTATACCAGTCGGGACATGTGAGGAGTTCAGATCTAATCGCGAGAACGTTTGCAAAAACAAAGTAATTGCGTGAGTTTACTTTTACGCCGCTTTTAGCAATATTACAGCAATATTACGGCGGGGGGAGACCAGAAATGGGTTTCACATATTGTACCCATGTAGGGGAATCGAACCCGGGGCTTCGGGGTGACGCCCCCTACCAAAACAAAGACGCACGGTGGTATTGATATTCGAGTTTTGCCGCTATACATTTGCTTGGGTATTTCTGGGAGCATGGGCACTGTGGTACTACGTGATACGGTGTTCTGAGATGTGTCTCTTGGGCGTACCAGAAACCTATCATCGTGGGTTGGAATATCAGATTTATGTTTTAAGGTTAGCCAGCGCCATGCCTGTGTAGAGGTGGGTGTTTCGTGTTAGCTGTACCTCTTCGGGCTGTCCTCCCTCATAAGACTAACCCGCTCAATCAGTACCAGGTCAGTCCCCTAAGCTTGGTACGTTTGCTATAGGTTGACGTACCCGACATCTGTAGGAAGCCCCCGAACAATTTCCCTGTCTCCGCCCACTTGGACGCCCCAAACTCCAGTGTCTCCCGGACATGTCTCCCAAGCAGCTCCACGATGTCGACGGTGTTCCGGAACGGTAGGACGGTGGTGACATCGCCGAAAGTGACTTCACCTAAATACACGTGAACAGTCACATTACCCTAATGGTCCTGTGCATCGAGCATGTGCAATAATCTTAAACCCGAGGGAAAGCCCTCCCCTCAAAGAACCTTGTTCTGGATGCCAGACAAATAGCTATACGTGACCTGGGGCCTCTTTCACGAAGCAACATTTACTAAGGTTAACCTTAACTCCAATTCTTTAACATTGCACTAAGGTTACCTTAGTGACTTACGATCACCTTAATGCTTTCTGAAAGGAGGCCCAGGCTAAAACTGCGGCCTAAATAAACGTTTCCAGAAGAACAACAGCTTTGTGGTTATAAGTGGTTATAATACAGGCTGTATGTAAAACCCTTTGATACACTTTGATGACTGTGACTGTCTGGTTTTATAGAAGCATTATCCAACCATTGTTCTGTGCTGCATTATATATCATTGGTAGACCAATACGTCGTTTCACACATACCTATGTGGTATAATGTAAGGAATTGTATGTAATAGTGCTGAATGAATTACCTCTCTGTAAAGATGCACGGATTCCACCCCCGTTCATAAAGGCGATGGCCACGTGGTTCCATTCCAGGGAGTCGCTGTGCTTCAGGTTCTGGTGCACCATTGCATCGGCATACAGGTTACCTGAGAAAAGGCCGACGTTTATACCAGCCTATGTTTCTCATCTCCCGCCCACCCAAAGTTTCATTATGACATAATATAATATTAACAAGAAAATGTTTTCTTGTCGCCCACCTCCCGCTGTTGAAATCTATTTAAAATACCCTTACCCTTGCATACTTGTGAAAACCAAGTCAACTAGATCTTTCTTAATCCATGCGTAGTAACAATAGTGGGCAATGGCATACAGCACCGGAGACTGAAAGCATTATAGAAAAGGCGAAACAAGGGGAGGGGGTGGGGTATGGGGAGCATAAGAAGATGAGACATTTGTTTCTTCTCTTCTGATGTCAATTACATGCACGCCCCTTTTACTGTGATGAGGCACCACATCCCAGTCTCATAGTGTCATCTCACACGTCTTACCTAAGTTACATTCTCTGACTCTGCAGGATGACCGTTCTCCGTCCAGCAACACTTGGCTTCTCGCGACCACCTGACCCATCTCGTCGGCCACGCCTTCTCTGTAGGGACGCATCACCTCCAAGGTCGCTTCATCTAGATACAGGAACGGAGGCATCAGTTTCATGTTCATGTTACATGACCTCCCTAGACAGTGATATTGGTCTTAATGTGTTCTGTTGTTCTCTAAACAGTGATTAGTGAGTATGGTTTTACGCCGCTTTTAGGAATATTCCGGCAACCTATGATACCAAGCTGTGTGGGTGCTGTTGTATTTCATTTAATACATTTTGTATGCAACAATAATCCTTTATATGATATATTTTGTAAAACTTTTTCTCTGTAAACTACAGATATGGGAACTTTTTGGGTACTAGTGAGGCACCTCATCGCCAGGACACGACGTCAGCTACTGTGGCTTCCACAAAACATGTAGTCTGGATCACGTATTTTTTGCACTACTCCGACATGGACACTGGCACGGCTCACATGGCGGTAAGCTATGAATGAGTGAGTTGGGTTTTACGCCGCCTGTAGCAATATCCCAGCCACATCACGGCAGGGGACACCAGAAATGGGCTTCACACATTGTACCCGTGTGGGGAATCAAACCCGGGCCTTTGGTGTGACGAGCGAACGCTTTAACCACTCGCCCATTTATAAATAATGTGTCTATATTATAGCATAACAGTCACTGGCCACTTGATGTACAGTGTAGGGGGTGGTGTGTGTTTGATAAAATAGAATCAGGAACGGAAACCGACATGATTAAATTACCGCACTTTGTACCCATGTTGGGATTCGAACTCGGGTCTTCGGCGTGACGAGCCAACGCTTTACCCACCAGGCTACCTCCCCCCTCCCTCCCTCCACCCCCACCCCCAGCTATGAAAACACACAACACCTTTAAAAACTTCTAAAAAGATATTCATACCATTTTCAAACATAATTTCCGTTTTACATCGAAAGGAATTCGAGGATAGTCATGACGCGGCATTCTTTTACACTGGCGATGTATTATGTCAGATAGTTCATAGATACTTCTTGAACTGAAACCATAAAACAAATGTTGTAGTACATCTGTAGTACATCTTTTTGACCCCTTTCAGTGGTGTGACACCACAAACTTTCTTTTCAAAGCTCTCGGAAATCCGTTCTTTGACACTGTGTGTGTGCTTTATTATTAATAGTGAGTGAGTGAGTTTAGTGTTACGCTGCTTTTAGCAATATATTATTGGTTTATTTTTAAAAGAATGTATAGATCTATCATGTGAATAATGTATATGTAAATGGATGTGCATGTATTTATGTATAACTTGTTAGAAAGGCATTTAGAACTTTGAGCTCTAAGGATGGATAACAATACATGGATGGACAACTTTTTTTATTCAGTGAGAGCGACGTAGGTTCTACTACCATTATCAACCAACACCGAAACGTCGCTCTCAGTGAATAACAGAAGTTGTTCATCCATACATTGTTATCCAGCCTTATGTATGTATGTCTTATATGTATTAGTTGTATATACTTTCTCAGCACTGTAAATATATTTTGTACTTTAAGATACAGTTAACTTCTTTTGGCTGTGTGAAGGTTTCTTTAGATTTGAAACGTTCTATCCATGACCATAAACATATCGGTAACGCACAGAATATATTTATAACCGACAAGTTCTGAGGCATAGGCTGTCATAACTGTCAAGTACGTGTCATAACTGATCTACCGTGTATATAGAAGATCCGTTTATGTATTTTCAGAACTGATTGGCGGACCACCTACACTGTCGGTTTGTTGAGCCTCAAGCATATCTCGTATAAAGTTTATTACCTTATGTCGCACGCTTTATCTTAGTCATTAGAGAGCCATAACTAGCAATATAAGGTTTATTACTTTTTGTCTAAAGCTTTATGGCAGTCATGCATTGTTTTTACATAGTCATGACTTGCAGATTTAATATTCTAGTAGCCCATACACTAGAGACGGTTTACGACATAAGTGTCACAGTTTCACACTGACATCTACAAACAGGACCTCGGCGAGGGAGGAGGTTGAAGGTCTAGAACCGGGAAAGCTTAGTCGGAGGATTAAGTGGTCAAGTGTACCTACCGTTTCATGATATAATTGTACCATTTACACTGACATCTATATATAGGAAGTCAGCTGGGGAGGAGGTTGAATTGCTAGTACAGGGTGTCGGAAGATTATCTAAGTGAGGTCAACCGTTTTCTGATATACTAAAAAAATGTACAATGACATAAATATGAGCTCGCTCACTTTTGGTATTTTTCGCTTATGGAGATACACATTATCAACAGCTTTACCTTCGAAACGATTAGGAATATTTCAATCTTACACCTAAATGAATTACAAAGATCACTGAATAGGCAACCGGCATTTGTCGCCAGAGGTCACTCGCGGGATCTGGTGGTATCCCAATCGATGACAATCAAAGGATTGTCTGGTGCAGACTACTGTACGCCCTCATATAGCTTGAATGATGCTGAGGGCGGCGTAAAACAACAAAACAATTCAGTGATTATTCACCATGGCCTTAAATACACTGGAAATATGTCTACCAATAAGCCGTTTACACTGAAAATGGCATTACAAGTGATGCGCCCTTTACATCAAAAGCGAAACCCTTCATACATTGAATTGTAAATAATATACTGAACTATAATAATATACGAGACTGACTAACGCCAGCTGATATGCTACATAGGAGATCTAGTTCTCGCCGTGCTGTTTAGAATTTCGGATATGCTAGTTTGCTCAGAACCTGTTGTCAGATAAATATATGAAGACCAGAACCCTACAATTGTTATTGTCCATTTGCAACCCCTCCCCCCTCTCCTATCACGAGGAGCAGATCACACAGCGTCACATCAACCGGTTCTACTCTCCAATATAGCTTCTCCAATGTATGTCACCCACCTTGTGCTGTGTTGTTGTCTAGTAGGATTGGGTTACCTCCCCATGAAGTGATGACTCCTTCCGGGTCAAAAGTCACTTCCAGAGCTCCTAAATACTTCCCGTAGGCATAGTCCTGCACCACCAGCACCTTGGCCCCTCCCGACTGGGTCACCACGTGGGGATACTCTCCTACCGGTTCCTCGTTGGACGGATGGTCGCCTGCAAAAAGGACAATCCATGACTGGTGTGGCTTTTTGCATGTTGGCAAAATGCAGTTGAACCTGATCAAAACATTCAATAGCATACTCAGTTGCAGTTTATATGGGTGAGTTTGCTCAGAAAGCAGCTTCCGTCGGGCTCAGTGTACGAGCATGACATACACAGCTGACCATATGTTTTGTTGGGTAAGTATCCGAGCTGAACGGTGATTGCGTTTACGCATCTTGTGGGTTGGTATGTGCTTGTCTCACCTGTGTAAAGGAATGTATTGGTGTGACCTCCGACAACTACATCCAGGTTGTTGACCTCTGCTGCAATTTTCTTGTCAACATCAAATCCCGAGTGACCAACAGCAATGATCTTGTCGATGCCCTGTGACGTCAGGATGTCAGCCTCTCTCTGGACTGCTGCAATCTCATCTTCAAATTTGAGGTTTTGACCTGGAATGAATAGGATACCATCAGAAGATTATCATTATAATAAGTATCTTCAAGTGTTGAGTGTTTGAAAGGGTCCCTTTACCTCTCGTTACTGTTGCCTGGTCAAACATAGGTCAAACTTACCTGGAACAGAAATTACCGGTGTCTCTTTGGAAGTGTATCCGATGACCCCGATACGTTCACCATTGACAGTCAACACCGTGTGTTTCACTATCTTGCTATTAACCCTTGGCTCGGTAGTAGCGTCGATGTTGGCGCTGACCACGGGGAAATTAACGTCGTTGAGTAAGGGCATCAATCCGTCGATACCAAGGTCAAACTCGTGATTACCCAGCGTCTGGAAGGGCAGAGAGAGAATAGAAGCAAAATACATCGTAAATAGACCTTTTCGTGAACTTTGCAACTGCTTAAGAGATTGCGATTTTATTGTAATTACCGAGAAGCACGGGCATGTCGTGTGCGTACAATCACGTGCGTGCGTGCGCGTGCGTGTGTGTTGTTGGCGGACTAGGTACTGAGGAAAGCAGTGAGTGCTGAGAACAAACAGTAGACAACAAGATATATATATATATAGGGGACAATAGGACGAGGGGACTATTCTGCCAGCAAGGAATCGGAGGCAAGCAATGAAGTCAACAGGGCGATCCGGGTTACAATTGGTCTTCAGTAAACCATGCAGGTCGTAAGAGGCGACTAACGGGATCGGGGACTTGGTTGACACATGTCATCGTATCCCAATTGTGTAGATCGATGCTCATACTGTTGATACAGACCGCCACCATCTAGCTGGAATATTGCTGAGTACGGCGTTAAACCACAACCCATCCTTAAAGAGTAATAGGGACTAAGCAAGCAGGAGTAACACAGAAGGGAACAGGTCAAAATGGCCACACGTCAAAACGGCCACACAAAAACGTCAAAATGGCCACAACCCGCAGTCAAAATGGCCATAGCAAAAAGTCAAAATGGCCATAGCAAAAAGTCAAAATGGCCATAGCAAAAAGTCAAAATGGCCATAGCAAAAAAGTCAAAATGGCCATAGAAAAAGTTAAAATGGCCAGAGAAAAGGTCTAACTGGCCATAGAAAAATCAAACTGGCCATAGAAAATGTCAAACTGGCCATAGAAAAAGTCAAACTGGCCACACATTATTTTTTATATTTTTTAATATGCCTAACATTTGTATTATCGGGATATTTTGTGGTCATTTTGTCGTGTGGCCATTTTGACTAGGACCCATACGGAAAAGCAATAGTTACATAGCACTGGCAATAGAAGGAAGGACAAGCAACGGGAGATGCACATACTGACATGTAATAAGTACACGCAATATACACTTATCTCTAGCAGGTGCACTAAATATAGAACGTCAACGTAGATTTCTTATGGGTGTGCAAAGGTTTCTGTCGGTATTATATATCATCATTACATAATCTTCTAAAGGATGCCTCAGTTTGCTCTGGTGAGAGTTGTGTTTTAAAAGTCGACAGGTCCACTCCACCGTCTCCAAGAGCTACGTTTATGTCGTTTGGTTGTGAACTATAGCGGAGACACTGTCGAGTCCTCCTCCCCTCTGACTTTTGTCATTTATACCTACCAACTAGATAGTGCTTTCTGTGGGAATAGGTCACGTCTATAAACCACATCTACAAACTCCAAGTGCAGTGTTGCGCATAGTCAAGAGTGGGGACCATTGTTTAGTATATACGCCTGCCTGTTAGGACATGCTCGTTGAAATAACAACATTCTTGAAGACATTGGCGTTGGAATGTGACTCCAGCGTAAAACTGCATGGTGAATGCAAACAAAGCACGCACATTTCAACAACGTGTTATCAAAAAGGTTTAGAAATGTTCTAACAAATAGATGTTACATTGCAACAGGTTACTATACTCACCATGACGTCATACTGCAACAGGTTCATGAATCTGGCCACAACGGCACCGCGGTACTTGTAGAACCACAACGTCCCCGAATACTCGTCCCCTGCAGACAGGAGGATGGTGTTGGGGTGGAGGGCACGCTGTTCTCGGACTTTGGTCACCTGTCGCGCTGTCCCACCAAAACATTTCCCCTCTGCCACATCGTCGACCCGACACTGACCGCTGTACTTGTTGGTCTGCTCGAATCTTGCGTGGATGTCGTTGGTGTGGAGGATGGTGAGGTTGAAGCTGACGACCACAGCAGGAAGGAGATCATAAGCAGAGGCCCCAGGAGCATGTCGTATGTATTACGTAAGCCGGTGGCGTGAAGTTGTTGGGAGATGTTGTAGGTGAAGCTGCAACGTGAAGTTGAAATGTGAAGCTGCAACGTGAAGATGCAACGTGAAGCTGCAATGTGAAGCTGCAATGTCTCTGGCTATTTACTCCGACTGTTACTGAGGCGGAGAGAATGTACACGCCACACACACCACTTGTTGACTGGTTCTGTATGGGGTGTTTGTGGCTTGATTAGCGGCCACTTTCTCACACACAACCGGCTCCTCTCCACTGAATCAGCGGACATGGTTAGTGATTTCTAGGCTCGGGTCATTCAAGCGTGTGTTTATTGTGCTGTTCTTTTTAAGCCAGATCAGATAAAGCCGTCAATTCAAATGAAGTGCTTCAACGAGGAGCACTTTAGAGAATTATCATTCAAGGAACCTGCTGACCCGGTTTTAGGAAACGAGTCTTTTGTTACAGACATCTGGGGGGCATACGATTGATGTGTTCCTTACGACTTTAGTACAGAAATTGGTTAGCTTTGAAACGACCAAACCACTAGCTTCTAGATAGCCAGAACGCAATGTATACTCATGCCAATAATGGTTGTCACCCCCTTCAATTTTTTTAATTGGAGAGGGGGTCCGGGGTGGGTGTGAGGTGTGTGTGGGGTTTTGGTGGGGAGGGGGGTGACAACCATTATTGGCATGAGTATATTACAATTAAATAAGTCTCAACGGAAATAAAACAATTCATTCCAATATGTTGTCTTGTACGTCCAGTGGAATCTGTTTTGACTGATAATCGAGAGAAAATAGTCGATATCTCTGAGTTGGATATATTTACTTCATTAAAACAACGTATACACAGGGAAAAAAGTATCCATATTTTTCATATTATCAGTATGTTACCATAGCAAAGGAACTTATCCAAATCTCAATTTAACTTACTAAATGGCAAAACTGAAAACAAACAGAACGGAAAAGAGTAGTTTATTCAGAGAAGCAAACATTGCAAAACAATACTTATTTTGTTGTATGTCATTGACGTTACTACCAGTTTCAATAATCCATCCACACGCACAGCTGTAGCCAATCTAAACACATAGCTGATATCATCATCCGAGTACCCAAGCTCAACACAACACTGATATCTCCACATAAGCAGAACGTAAATGAAACGTCTTCCCGGAATATTTAGTGACAAGATGTAATGCTCAAATACTCATTCAAATGCCTGTCAACACACCTAACAGTTAAAATATGCGAAACACACTCTGTAGTTAATGGGACGGGCGTAGTAATGCATTTATTAGTAACCTAAACTTTGTACATTATCCAAATTCAACGTTGACAAAGGCGTTGTTTCCATAAATACAACACTCGTAGTTGATGAATCGGTCAGCGTGTTCTCTCTCAATAAGCAATAACCTGCACAACTCTCTCTCAATAAGCAATAAGGTCGTCTGCGAACAACTCTCTCGATCAGCGATCTGATGAGGAGTTATATTATATTTATCAAGTTTCTTGCCAATTGACTGAAACTATTTCAGCTTGTTTTTATTTCCTGGCTCATTTTTTGAGTGCAAGGAAAACAAAAACTATTGGGCAGGCCAAAGGTCGCAATCAATGGCGAATTTCTACAGGGCACAATGACGATAGTTTAGAATTGACTTCCGTGGTTAAACAACGCCAATCAACTGAAAGGAAGTGACCAGATTCTCTCTCAAGTAATCAGCGATCTGATGGGACATATTGGAAAACATGATTTTTATAGTTCTATTTTTAACACATTTTTCAATGATGCTTTGAATAGTATACTATGGACCTGGCTCTAAGGGAATATTATTTTTAACTGCTGATGGAATAAAATATGATGTTGAGTCGGAGTTTCTTAACTCATAACTTTTCCTGTTTCCTACTACAATAAGTCCTAAAGAAAGACAGGCCCTTGTGAATTTTATAAAATATTGTTAATTTACAGGTCGTTTCACAAAACAATGAAGACGAACGGGCACGAGTTTTCTAACAGGCCAATGAATTCGATAATACTGTTTGCGATGAATAGAAAATGTGTACGATTAAATCTGTAGAAGATATATTGCATAACCTAAAACTACCAAACACAATGTGAATGAACAGTTAGGGCAAATGCTTAACCTCAACCCCACAAGCATAGCTCTCATAGTCTGTTTTGTTATAACAGACAATGAAAGTGAAGTACCAAGATGTTTGTCTAAGAATGTTTTACCTATCGTTAGAAGCTTAAAGACGTCATATTACTTGATGCCAAAAGCTTCAACATTTTCTGAAAATACATCAGATGAACCCTGTATTTTAAACTCTGTGTTCATCTTGCTGGTAAAATGAATATGTTGAATGGATAGATGGAAATTCGGAATGATACGTAACTACCTTAGGGAATGAGAAGATTTATATATTTACGGAGGTTTGCCAATCCAATGAAATAATCACATTCCAACCTTCGTAAACTTAGAAAAGATTCTGGAATTTGTTCCTATTATTGGAAGGGATAAATCGGAAATACTATATGGTTGAGGTATCAGTTTTTAATTCATGCTTGCAAAGTCTGCAAATTCGGCCATAGCATAGGAAAAATTAGACATAGGGCCATATAAACGGCATATGCCTTGTGCAGTATATTTCTAAGGGATAAGGGTAACGCAGTGCATCGAACAATGCAACACACAAGCTTCGGTCATAGCATACACTTCCTACTGAAGTCTTATTATCGTTATTTAAATGGTGTACTATCCGGCTGGTGGTCCCAGACACTCTTGATCAGTGGTCAGGATACCAGCATCGTTAGTACGCAGGTTCGGGGTGTAGTAGATCGCCATTCCTGATTGGTCGAAATAGTCACTCCTCATCTGGGGATTGTTCCAGTGCACCTGTGAAGAGAGAATGGGCCAGAAATATGTTTGACAAACTCGACTCTGGTCGAAGTATAGGACAGACATGAGTATATCTCTTGCAAGCTGTGGTCAGATGACAAAACACATTTCTCGTCTTGCCAACAGTGACATCATCAAAGCAGTTTCTAATGATGCATTTCCCAAACAGACAGACACGCCTCCAATGAAGGACGTTACACATAATAATATTATCCGGGTAAGTCCAAAAAGCACTCTTGTTGCACCGCTAGTTACAGTACAACCTATAAGTGTAGATTCCACTTTTCGCTTTAATCTTTGGAGAATTATGGGTAGCTTGGGTGGAAATATAAATATATGTAAGATTGCATCTGTTTGACCCAATAATGTTTTTATCGTTTTATGAATTTTGTATTGAGTCGTAGGGATTGGTCAGTTCAGTGGCTGAAATATCTGCTGCTACCAAAATGAGTGAATTATTAGTATTTGTACAGTAACGTGTAAATGTATTTTCACTTCTGGTGCCATCAATAGTATTTAACAATATTGGGCAGTGGAATAATTATAGAGGGTACCGCTACTGTGACAAACATCTTCGTAAACGTTCTCTGTCTGTCTGTCTGTCTGTCTGTCTGTCTGTCTGTCTGTCTGTCTCTCTCTCTCTCTCTCTCTCTCTCTCTCCCCCACTCACTCACTCACTCACTCACTCAATCAAGTATGCAGCTTACCTGAAGAGCTAGCTTCTTAAGCCGTTTACCCCAATCCTGATTCCCACCGTCTCGTGTTTACAATCACCGGAGCTGCCCAGTGTCCAGAGGCTAATGCTGGAATTACAACTTAAACCAGGCAGCATACCACACCGATAGGGGAAGGGGGGTTACAGCTTCGTCTGAAAGGTGACAGAGTGTCCGGAGGTCAGAGGTTTCATCATACCAAAAGATGTCACATGTACGTAATACTTGCTACTCTGCTTGTTATGGAGATAAATCAGAGAGAAGTGGGACTGTACGACTGCAGACATTCCTTAAGGCAGCTACGTCAATAAAACCAAAGCTTAATGACGGTAGTATTATTATCTACTCAGGACCAGGCACTGAGTGAGTGAGTATGGTTTTACGCCGCTTTTAGCAGTATTCCAGCAAGATCACCTCGGGGAAACACCAGAAATGGGCTTCACTCATTGTATCCATTTGGGGAATCAAACCCGGGTCTTCGGTGTGACGAGCGAACGCTTTAACCACTAGGCTACCCCACCGCCCCGACCAGGCACTGTTGAGCATTGAGCATTGCAGTAAGTAGGTCATCGAGCTGGTATTAGTGAATGGCTGTACTGATGTAAATTAAAACAAAGTTTCGAACCATCTAGAAGAAAGTGAATCAGATGATTCTGATGACAAGCGTAGATTGATGGGATCTCTCTTCCAGTTTTATCTCGACAGTCTGTGATGAGACGATGAAAGACCAGACAACCTAGTGACTGATATCAGGACGAATACCTGCACTCCAGCAAGTCAGTGTGCCTAACCACCTGTACATTCTAGTCTCTAGTCGAGAGAGAGAGAGAGAGAGAGAGAGAGAGAGAGAGAGAGAGAGAAAGAGAGAACGTTTACGAAGATGCTTGTCACAGTAGCGGTACCTTCTATAATTATTCCAGTGCCCAATGTTGTTACATACTATTGATGTTGTTAAATACTATTGATGACACCAGAAGTGAATACTGTACAAATACTAATAATTCACTCACTTTGGTAGCAGCAGATATTTTAGCAACTGAACTGACTTTACTGTCTCTATATATGTTCGCTATGAAGAAACCAGTCTTACACTCCTGACAGGGATGCTTAAGTTTACTGTCTCTATGCATGTCCGCTATGGAGAAACCAGTCTTATACTCCTGACAGGGCTTTTAAGTTTACTGTCTCTATGCATGTCCGCTATGGAGAAACCAGTCTTACACTCCTGGCAGGGCTGCTTAAGTTTACTGTCTCTATACATGTCCGTTATGGAGAAACCAGTCTTACACTCCTGACAGGGATGCTTAAGGTTACTGTCTCTATACATGTCCGCTATGGAGAAACCAGTCTTACACTCCTGACAGGGATGCTTAAGGTTACTGTATCTATACATATCCGC